CTTCATTGGGGTAATCAGCTACTGTTTCATAATTGAACATCAACTATCCGTGACACTCTTATCGCGGGAGCTTTCTTTAAGCATCACCACGGTCAGTTGCAAAACATCCGAAACACTGCTCCTGCAAAAAATTTCCTGCTGTGTTGTTTCGTGACTAGAGGAAACAATCTCCGTGGATAACGAAGGAAATGCGCCTTCACTGTAAACGTCTGCATCTTCCTGTCGGTGTGTCGTTGTCAGAAAATTCCAATGAATCGCTTCATTCCACAGCTTTATTGTCGCTACGCTTGAAATCTACGCTTTTGGCTCGCGGTCTAGGCTAGCGTCCAGTTTCTGCTTGCTATACACATCCTTAGCTTTCGATATATGTGTTTGACGTTTGGCTTCAATCATCATGAGGAGATTCTTTTCCATGGAGAGGGAATGAGTTGCCAAGGATGGGGGTCATATGACCACTTGCTACCTCAATCCCTGGTTGCCAGTTTCATGGCATAATAAATGAAATGTCTTGTATCCCTTGAGTGCCCATTGTCGTTTTGTCAGGAAGCCGTAGAAACTTTGTCGGAATCAGGTTCAGAACTTCGTTGCCAGAATCCGATGATTGTATTTCAGCAAATAAGACTGATCTCAATAATCGAAACCGGATGAACAAGTTTTTTTTCATTTCATGTGAGCGCTTTTTCAGATCACGGGTGAAGCAGCAGGACTAGATGGTTGGTAGACACCTTTGATGAGCCTTCTGGTTACCCTCTCTGTTTGAAGCGAAGGTGGTGAAGTAGCAAATGGTCCGCTTACCACGTTGGTGTTCTGAGGACAGAGCCGCAGATCTCTTCAGTCTGGGCTAACCAGGACTTCTACCCTTCTTGAACGGTGAATTAACACTAGATTTGTTTTCACACTCCTAGGGGGAGGGGGAGAGCACTTACTCGGCTGTCCCCCGCAAGTCATTTTATAGGCCACACAGTTCACTAAGCCGCTACAGTTCTACATGGAATAGAACGTGTGCCCATCTCAGAAAAGGATCGATCAATGGCGAAGATCCTCATTCACAAGAAGAAGCATGTTGGGATTGATGTGAAAGATAAGAATTCGGGTGATTTCTGAACTTCCAAACGGGATCCGCTTCTACAATCCTCCACTCCCTACTCTGTACGTATCCACGGCTCCTAGAGGGAAGTTCAACTGGAATGAATACATCAGTAAATGATATTCTCTACAATCAATTTAGGCATGACCTCGATCCATATTCATCACTTCGAACATGTCCTGGTCGCAACGGGCGTGACGTTAATGGCTCGTTCCGACAGCATTCGCGTGAGGCAGCCACCTCTTCCAGTGGGAACTGTTTCAACGTTTTTACGTCTAATTTATTTAGTTCCAAGGCCAGACTCCAGTGAAAAGGCAGTGTTAGGAGCGTAAGAGGCGGTCATTTCCCCCACGACCACCCCAATGTTTCGAAATCGTGTGAGAAATGAACTTTTTTTCTGGAACTATGTCTGAAGGGGTGCTTCCCCGTGAACAATACCACAACACTAGTCTGGCCCCGAAAATGGGTGCTATGGTAGCCATGAGGACGGGTACGGTAGCATTCAAAGATGAGGTACCCGTTTGCAAGCACCAATACTAGTTTAAGTAGGCAAGCATTTACGTAGTAGCGATATTAAAAACATTTTTGGCCATGTTTCGCAAAAAGCAAAAAAAGTTCTGCTCAGCGAGGACTAGTACCCACAACCTGCCCTGTTACATGCTCCGAGAAAACCTTCATAGCTCAGTTCAGACAATCGTTCTGAAAATGTGGAAAGTAGACTTGGGACTAGCGTCCAAAGACGCATCGAACAATCTACATTACTCTGCAAATGGCTACTTCGCCCTATGATCATCACTTTATTAGTAGTGGAAGTCACATGTATGGCAAAATACTCGAAATCGTTATCAATGACCGAAAAATGCCCAAACCTCCCATTATTTGGCCTATGCTCTTACAATTCTGGAAGTGAGAGCAGTATTATTCAGGGAAAAAAGTGTGAGTTTTCATCCTACTTGACCCTTATGAATTAAAGAAAGATGATGTGCTCCAAATACAGCTATGTTTAGACCTTGTTTCCTAGCGTTAGAGCCTTAGAAGTAGTGGCCCGATATTTATAAGTTTCTCGCCATTTGCACACCACTCGGCTCAAAATAGAAGAAATTTAAGTAAAGCTAACCCACGTATTGCCGACTGCTGTGAGTACATGTGCCAGGTACTGACTAGTAAACGTGTTGAGCCTGTATAACCGGTTCACAAACCAATAAACAAAGGGCAACCTAAGAAATTGTAGAAATGACGCAAATCAGTCAGCGCTAATGGGGTATTTTTTTATTTCTAGCGCCATGGGCTATTTTCTATCTTTGAACCTTTAATCAGGTGACTCCCCATTGGGAAGATGAGCAAATATTCGCATTCATCTTTCTCTATTCTCGGAATTTCTGATATGGTTCTGCGTGGCTGATTGTAGCTATCCGCCAAATTTACACACTTCCTATCCCTGAGGCGGAGTAGGCGTGGCATTTGAACATGGCACATAATGGGCTACTCACGGGATTACTTAGTGAGACACCTGTCGTTGTCAGCGTTGAGCAGACACGACCACAACTGTGTCAAAAATAAAAATATCTCCCCAAAAAGCTCAGCCATCGCCACGTTTACGCAGCTCCGCCTACCACATCTCATGGATCTCGAGCATATGTATATGGTAGAGCACGTCATTAGTTATTCAATATTCTCAGTCACTTAGTCAATTCCTTCATATTGATCGAGTGACGACTATAGAAAATGTTTTAAACCCTCAGCTGGCAACCGAGGACTTTTTTCTCATGGGCCAGCTGTACCGAAGGCGGCGGTCCTCACTGTATACAAGTAGCGCTGGCTGACTCATGAATCTCCTCCACTTGGCTTCCTCTTGGCACCTCGACCATTCAAAAAGCCGACCCAGCTACTCGACATTCAATAACGTTCGGTATTCTCTTTCGAGGTTCAGACATACAATATCGACAAGTCGGTTTTTTCCGACAGCAACTCCAATCTCCATATCCCGTACTCCTCTTCGTCTCGCAGTAAAAAGAGGACGCTTGATGTCTAGTTAAATCGCTTAAGTAACTCCAATAAGTATACTTATAGAAAGTGTTTTAATAGCTCTCAGTTCAGCAGCTCTTCTTAATAATTACGCCAACATCCAATATTTCAATAGCTGCAATAAGACCGGGTGGCCAGCCATAAAATGAAATCCGAGCAAGCTGCACTCCCAAAAGCCAAATTTTATATTAGATCTGGCTGCTATACACTAACGATCCGAGACTCGCACGAACGGGACAAGAGTTTATGTACCCTTGTACCTTCAAGCTTATAAAAATGGTGAAATTTCAATGAGTGAAATAAAATGGTAAAGCTTTCATAACTAGTAAACCCTTAAATTAGGTCTATGTTTGTTCAGTCCTGAGGTCCACTCTCATGCTTACCTATCCTCTCATACCTTGGCTGATATGTACTGATATCTTATACCTGAGTTCTAGCATTTTGTTTGTTGTTGTTTAGTTTTTTTTGTTCTAGTTTATTCTCCCGTTCGTTGTGCTGAATTCTTGTTGATCATTTTTCCGTTTGTTTTAGCTTGATTTAACTGATAAGTAACTATTATGTCCTTTAGTAACAGCACTTAAACGCATATAGTTGAACTGAATACGAGTGTCTGTGGACGATAAAATAAATAAGTAACTAACTAGGGAGAGGCGCTACATGCCCTTCCAAGATTATTAGCTAAGGTTTTTACTGTATCGATTACACTATTCTGACCTCTGATACTGAATTTCGAGAGAGCTCCAAATATAGATAAGCTCTCGGCCATTTTGACAGGTATATTTGAAAACATGTTGTAAGTGTAAGTGCAGATGTGTTTCAAATTTTATGCAAAAGTTACACTGCAATCATACATAGATATTTCGTCTAGTTTCTATTTGTACCGCTAATGTCATACATCACGAAGTGGAATGGATTGTTCCTGATGTATGTTGGAGATCATAGTGATGAGCTGTTGCTTGATGATGAGCAAGATGAGCAAAGGCTGATAAAGCAGAAGAAACAAGGAAGAGAAGCGATAGAGACGCTCGTGATCTCTAGACGAGAATGAGTTTGGTCTCTTTAGAAACGCCGAATTGTGTTTTGTGCTGCTCGAAGAGGTCTATAAGCGCGTCGCAGTACTGACGATGGACGCGTTCCACTTCCTCATCGGTCGGTTCGGAAACCTTGCAAACGTCTATCGGCGCTCCAACGACTGTGTTGATAGGCTTTCGAAACGGCAGAAAACCGAAGTTAAGCTGAAAGTCGCAGCTCACATTGGATGTCTCATTGTTCGACAATAAACAAAGGTTGTAGAACGAAAACAAGAGTGTGACAGTAAGGCTATCAACGTTAGATCAATTTCTTGAGAATTTGTGTTGTACCGAAAGTGAGGGGTCAACACAGCAATCTGAAAGTACATCACATTCTGAAAGTCATGGGTGAGCAGCAGTTTGTGAATATGCCGGAAAACGGTAGCTCGCAGGGAAGCAGTTCATGAATCATGAATGGGAGGGTTCCCCTTCTTTGTGGTGTGATGTGACGTTGAGGAGCAATGAACCCAATCCAGTGTTAATGCATGACCATAAAGCAGTTTTCGCACGATTCTATGTGTTTCTTTCATGAATGTCTATGTGAAGTAAAGGTCATCAAATAGCGACTGTAAGTGAGCACCGAATGCATAACTTCTCGTGCGCCCGTGGAAAATCTGAGCTTCCTACCTGAAGCAGACCTCTTCCGTAGAAGAGTGGCATTGAAACTCCTATGAAGCTTTTAATCCACATCTGGAACTTGCGAATCAGCGAACCTTCTGGGTTGTCAATCTGAAGCAACGAAGCTATAATCGCAATGTATTCCTTCAATGTATTAAGCGACTGCAACTTTACCTAAAAAGCTCGAACATGATCAGGTCAAGGCTTCTCACCTGCAAATATATTTCATTCTCTCCGAAGGTATACACAGGAACCAATGAAGCGCCGTATTGAAGGGCCTGCCTAACGAAACCTTTCCTGGCCAGTAGCTTTAACACGTGTGCTCCCGGTCGAGCGTAGAGAGCCTCTTCGGCTCCACCTAACTTATTCAACTTTAGTGATATAATGGATTGGAACTAACTGTACAGATAACGAGATTGTACAAACAGCGGGAGGGGTTTATTTTGGATAGCTCGCCATCCCTCGGCAATTCCTTAACAGAGACCTCGAACAACTGATTAAGGAGTAGCATTGGGTTATTTTTCATTTAGATTGCGGGGAAAGACGAAAAACCTGTACGTATACCTTTTGAAAATTTCCACTACTTCCAGAACTATCTAGCCTCTTTACCTTGCATCCAAAGTTTCGCACAGAGTTACGGATCTATTTCTGAGACTCGTAGTGCTCTCTTTCCTCTTGCCATTCCGTTTCATTTCGTTTTCACTACGTTGTCGCTAAGACCCCTAACTGTTCTCATAATCTCCAAACTCATTTCTAACTCTCCTCTCTAAATAGAGTTGATTCACGAACCATGATCCAGCGGTCGATAGAAAAAACCGCTGCAATGCCGTGATAGCGCTGAAGTTTCTTTGCCAACACACAAGAACTTTCTTCAACCAGTTCTGAATGACGCTTCCCAACTTCTCCACCTAACCGTCCAGATGTGTTTTTCGCACAAGTAGGAGCCGCTGCTTCAAAACCAGTGGAACCAGCCCTCTCCCTCCGCTGTGCCATGAGAAGCACTTCTAGCGATCATCGCAATGAGGTACATGCATAGCTGACATTATCGCGCACCATGAAACGTAATGTCAAGCTTGCTTAATGCCAAAAACTATTAGTTCAACCCTTGTCGTGACGAAAGCTGAGCAGGGAGGAGTTGTCCTCTGGAGCGCAGAAGCCTTTATGATAATCTCATGGTAACCAGCATAGGTTTCTTACGTGT